TCTATGTGTTTATTCCAGTTGAGTTTACTGTCCATATTTTTATAGCTATAGGTAAGACCTAAGAATTTTACGTCAGAGGATAACTGGAGTTTTGTGCTAAAGAGATGATAGTTATTCAGCATTCGTTTTTGTGTGGACATTACTAGAGCAGTAAGAAGGTCATATTCCCTGCAACATCTTGCAGCTATATGGAGAGCCGCTTGGGTCAGGTCGCACACCATGCTTGCTGTCTTTCTAGATATTAGTATTGTCTGGTCATCTGCATAACCTACTGTGTAGAAAAGATTAGCATTTAATTTCCTGATGAGATCATTAATGACCATAGAGGAGGCGAAAGAACATCACCCTGTGGGCAGCTTTCCTTGATCTGAATTGTTTGAGATTCACCAGCAATCTTTATTGTTCATGTACTGAGCATATTCACTATCCAGTCAATCAGTGCTGGTTCCACTTAATGTCTACTTATTGCACCTATTATGCTGGAGAAGTTTGTTCTGTTGCTGTTTCCCCAATTTACATTTTTTATAAACAGCTCTTTGTTTTTTTTTTCATAAAATTGCAAACGAACTTACAGTATACTTGATAAGTGGCTACTGCAATCTTTGGTTACATGCTACTAACTTCAAGGAAAGAAGGTTACATATGGTTTTGACTATTGACGACTAAGATGGAATGCCTCACATCCTATATTTATACTGGCTCTCTATACCCTCCCCTCAGATGAGAGAGTAACTGTGCACGCACTGCTGTTTGGCGGCACACATAGGTAAGAGGATGGCAACTACCTGGACAAACTCCCGGGTAGAAAAGAAGTCCTACTATCTAATATCCTATACAATTCATCCGATTGTGAGCACAGCTAGGTAAGAATAAAATGCGTTGTCGCATTTGAGCCCTGAAATGGAATGCCTCATTACAGTACAGTACAGTACATTACAGTTGAATCGCGGTAATCCGACAAACATTGCAAGGCAGTGTCGGATTACCGATTTTGTCCGACTATAGAGTACTGCCATAGCGCCCTTAGTAGTCCGGAACTTTTTGAAAAAGAGTACCTTGTAATCTGACAAATTACAAATCAAATATAAAATAATAAAAAATAAAAATGTCATGTGATGCACAATGAATACCTAAACAGTAAATAATGAATGCCTGCTAGGCTGCTACCATAGTTACATTTGAACGAGAGACAATACGCGTCAAGCTAGATTTGTGGTGGCACGAACTAATTGCAACATGTTTGTACACATATTCACGAAGTACACCTCGCCCGTGGTGGATTCATAGCATGACTCGAATCTACCTACAAGTTAAAGATATGTCGGATTACAAGGGGGAAGGGATTAGGCAGGGGCCGGATAACCGGAGGTCCACTGTACTCTGAAAAAGACTGGTCTTACCTAACAAGAACGGGGATTAAAATTTTTAATAAAGATTTGATTAAATATGTAAAAATATATTATTAAACAAACCTGTCCAGTGGTCTATCATCAGAAAAGAGTGATTTAAACATCTGTGTAAGTCGAGGATTTGAGCGTAGGTGTGGCAACACACGAGCCTTCATACCTTCACTGCTTCCACTATTTATACCGGTTGTGATAGCACGCAATATCTTACGTAGTACAGTGGGCTTTCGACTAAATGTAGTCTGAAAATAAAAATTATTAATGTATACATAATTTTATGCAAATATGCATGATCTTTTTTTTACATTTCAATATTTTAAGAAATGACATCAATCAAAATGTTTTGATTAGCAAAATAGGATTCTCTAATAATAAAGGCCTTCAAATATATAACTTCATAATTATTTATTGGGGTTATACTGTTTAACAATTCTTTGTTTTCCACAGAACTAGATAAATTTTTCCAGTTGCATCAGATTGCCGTCTCACCTATGAGTGAGGAAATAAAGACTGAGATGAGAGAATAGTTTGCACACACACACACACACACACTATAATCGTGTCTTGTGCAGATTTTCTACCAGTAGAACAGACATTATAGCCACACACATTGAACGAGGATTATACAGTGACCGAATTGGTTGCATACTGGTATAATATGTTGTTAATAAATTCTAGTAGCCATAGTAGTGACAGCCATGCTTTTTCCTGCCTAATATATTTATAACATGTTCATAGTACTTCCCATTGCAGTGGGTTGAGACCTTAAGGAGTATATTTTATAAATAAATTGTAATTTTAGGTACTGTATTTTAATATAAGTGTACTATAAATATACTGTAATATGATAAAAAATAGAAGTTATACTCACTTGCAACATTTGTATAAAATTTGTGATTTGTGTCAACATAAAATGGTCCATAAATCTACCTAATTCTGCTGCCTGTCCAGGCTTTAAAAATAAAAGAAACTCCTCAACAATATCTGGATTTTCATCACCAAATAATTGTTCTACTTTCTTATATAAATCAACTGGAGTCTCTTTTGAAGGATCAAATGTTTTCAGCAGTTCTTGAAACTGTACAAATTTGTTTGTAGGCACTGAAGGATTGGAGGAAAATCTTACTTGTACTTTTCTGTAATACGATCTTACTAAAGCTGAAACAAATTTAATTTATTTAAATATATGAAATATACTTCAAAGTTGTAATACTCCTAGTTGGTGAGACCATTTTTCTACCAAGGAATCAATAGCCACTTGCCACCAGTTGGATTATAAGTTAAGAAATCATGCAAATTAAAATGATATAAATATATTGAGTATGTATATGTTCATAATACTTGATAAACCTTCTATACAAAGAAACTGTACCTTTTTCTAGTGCATTTTCATCTGGTTTTGGTGGTTCATTCTTTTTCTTTTGAGTCTCTTTTTCTTCTGACTCCTCTGTGACTGCTTTTGATAAGTCTGTTTGAACATTCGGAGGAGGTGGCTTAAAAAAAGAACATGATTTAACAAGGACAACTTGGATATAAACACATTATCATGAAAAATTTGTAAGGTGAAAGTTATAGATAACTTTAATGATATTTAAAAGATCGCAAAATATTATCTAGAAGACTGAACTACTAATAGATCTCACTAAAAGTCAAAAATAGCGTAGTTACATAAAATAACAAGCATAAATAGTGACTCACTTCTGGAATAATGGCGGTTTTAGAGACTGAGTTTTGGGTAAAGTAACTAGTGCTAGGTTCAATTTTATTGCCAAATGCATCTTGACTCTCCCTCGTAAATAATATTGGCATAGATGGCAACATCTAGAAATTCCTAGCGCAATTCATCGAACTCAACAACTAACAATAATTAAAAACACTGACATACTCCACCTATGATTAAGATTTACTTCTATCGTTTATATTTAGTAGAGTTGTAATAATAAGTTTATAAAATAATAAACGTAAACACACACCGTAAAATGTATGCACCAAAAACTAAAACATATAATTCAAAATAGGTATTCTAAAATATAAGATAACGAAATGGAAATATTTATGTTTGACAGCAAAACGACGCGAAAAGCAAGCAACTTGAGAGCGCAGAGCGGGCACGTTTCATTTTATGAATCATTATGAATAAAATAAAATAAATTAGGATATGTTATCAACTTTTTAATCATATTGTACATATGATCATTAATTAAATAAGTTATCAGATTCATGTACTTTTCCATCACTTAAAAGTAACGAATTAAAAGACTAATAAAATAGACGAAAAGAAATTGCGGCTTCGTTGCAGCGCGTAAGTTTAAAACTATAAAATGTATGTTATTGTTATAACTATTTTGTGATCGCCTCGCAAGTTGCAGCAGATAATATAATATACAAATTAAAATTTAATGGTAATGTTACCCTTAATTTGGATGAATGTAATAACTTATTTACTATTCCAAGTGAAATAAAATACAAAAGAAAATCTGCGAGACGAAATACGATTATCTACGTGAAAGGATTATGTAAGGGTCTTTCAAAATATTTTTTATAGGTACAAAAAAGATTGACTTTCAGTCGTATACGATCGATAAATCGTAAAAAAGGGTATAATAACTGTCCTATACAGAAAAAATAACGAAGACTACTAACCACGTGAAGTAGTTACAAGGAATCATTGAGCATTTTGTCTGATTTTTCCCTTTTTTTATTATGCTCAATATAGGTACTTTATTATGTCTTTTTGTTTTATGATGCTGTCTACTTAGTAAAATACATTTAGATAATAGGTGTAACCAGAAATACACTCAACAATTCGACAAGGTTAACCATTCCTGCACTGTAAAAATAGTGATTTATACATTCTTTGCTGCACACGTTACACGCTCTTAATCTTAATGCAGAAAATCATGTCTAAAGCCCAAACATGCCGAAATAGAACACAAACTCCACAGAGTGGTGACGGGGAACAGCCACACCAATGTAAAGTTATGAGCTCAGCGATCAACAAAAACAAACCACCTACTAAATAAAAAACCGTCTAATAAATAGATTAAATTAAATAAAAAACAACCTTGTATAATAACCAAAACGGCGAACCGCGATATGTCTGTCAGACATGGCGATTCAGCAAGACCTCCATATTGTAGCAGAGTCTTAAGTCTAGCTGTCGACTGTTACAGGCTAATAAAAAAGAATGTGTTATTACATTAAAACTATATGAGTAGTTTGAGGTTTCATTAAATAAATATTTCACTAGTTGAAATATTATGAAATATTATCTCGAAAATATGGTTTGTTTTATTATAAAAACCTAATATTATTTATTATGTTGTCTTTTTGCGTTGTCTGGATACGCTATCGATTTATTTATTTCTAGTTTAGCCATCAAAGTTCAAGCTATTTGTGTTCTTTCGCTCTATAAAAAAACACGTCGTGACCTTTCACATTGTAATTAAAAAATCACATCAGCTATGTTCCGAAAATTTTATAAATATTTACATGAAATTGCTATAAGATTTTTTACATGAGATTTTCACGTGATTCTGAATGCAATTTTATCATAATAAAAGTGAGTAACAGATTTAGAAACTCAGTTTAAAAATGGCTTCTATTTTACCCACTGGAATGAGAAACGCGGTAAGTTTTTTAAATTATTAAACAATTAGGCGTTATTCTAGAAAACATTTTTTTATAGAATAAGGGTGAGTAACGGACACACAGTCCACCTGATGGTAAGTGGTAGCTGTGCTGTGGCCCATAGACATCTATCTACATTTATCCTCGATTAAGAATCAAAATGCAGATGCGTTTTCACCCCTGAGGACTAAGATGGAATGTCTCGTTTCCAGTAAAAAGGGTCTCCGGATCTCTACACTCACCATAGGAAACACAGTAGTATTATGCTGCTATTTTACTGTAAGAGCTTGATCCTTCCCCCTTTACTAGCTAGTAGGATTTCCTATACTATGTAGTAGGATCTATTGTACTTAGGATTAGGAGGAACTATTCGGCTTAGGATTTCGTTTGGGTAGGTAGATACTAAGTGTGTGTCGGTCTGAAGGGTATAGACTATAGAACCACAGTGCCAGTATATTTGCAGGCAGTGAGGCAATCTTGGCTTTGGAGGTCACATCACATCATTACCCTACTATGTTTGAAGTTGGTGTTTGCGCCTCCATGGGCCTTTTACCATCAGGTAGGCTGTAGGTTTGTTTATCACTAGAATATATAATATAAAACGTTATATTAAAGATGACAATAATAATTAGCTAACAATGATGTAATTAATTGCCTTGTTTAGGGAGAAAAATCTTCCATCTTAGAATAGCGTGTTGTAATTAGTATTCTGTGGTAATACACATCATTTTGTTTTGCACGCGACTACCAGCTTAATATTCTTTATTTTACCATTTCAACCTATTAAAAGTCAACTGCTGAACATAAGCCTCCCCCATAGATTGCCTCATAGGAGGGATATTTGCCATAGCTGCCACGCTTGGCAAGCGGGCAACCGCATTTTTTTATTTAGCTGTTGTTATCAGAAAGATGATGCTGCCCATTTCCTGGTTGTTTCTCTTTGTCGCCTCTTACGATACCCACGGGCTGATATGAGGTAGTGGATTTCTTACACTCGTTTGCCACCTCTTCTATAAAAAAAAAACAGGAACGGGTGAAAGGCAGCAGCCTCTTTATCGTTATCAATAATAACAATACAAAATAATTAAAAAAAAATTGTAAAGAAAAAACAACGGTTTGTCACTAATTTTTTAATTTCTTTACTTTAAAATCCTGCAAGAGAAAGATTGAAACAGTCACTCTAACCATGATCTGAAAATCAAAATTGGTCACAGTTGGGATTTGAATCCTAAATCTATTTAGTAGTCACTAGTTGACTAGTCCACTAAATTACGTGTATTTTCGAAGTTAGGTACCATTCACGGTATTATTGATATAATTAGAGTATAACCTTAAATTATTCGAAACTGGATTTTGCTGGCCTTGTCGAGTGGAAGTACCGAATAAAGTACGTTTTAAATAACAACATTATTTGCCACAGTAAGATAATGCACGCGATTGCATAAGCACGGTCAATTAAATAGTTTTGCTTAAACTGAGTGAAAAACGACGTGATAATGTCTGAAGAAATAAAAGACAATAAAATAATTGACGATAATGATGTTGACGTAATAAATTTAGATGAGCTTGACATTAAAATACAGAAAGCGCCAACGGAAGTTAGTGGTGTAGTAAATATTATGTTTTTCATGATATTACAATGATAATGTTATTTGTTTTTGATATAAATTTCACGTGTATTTTAATAGTGTAATTTTAGGCAATATTTTTTTAATTTAATGAATACCAGAATCAATGTAAATTGTAAATATATAAGTCGGTAACGGTCCTCTCCAAGTCCACTGATGTCCGTTTTAAAATTTTCTAATACTCGCTGACTTTGAAGTACGATATTTTGCATTAGAGTTGTAACTCCAAATTCAAATATTGTTTTTTTTATACGTTCATGATTCAGGTCAATGTAATTAAAGATATTCTCCCTTTAACCCTTTAAGAACAGAGCTTTTCGTTATGTAGTTTTCACGGCATTTATTTTTTCTTTGATATGAAGTTGAAGATGGTGTTACTTTTTAATATTATAATATCCACCGATATTAACATTCCGTATGGAGTAGATACCTACCGCAAATAATTTGATTGCTTCCATTCTCAAAATTTCGTCCTCGGCAACGGTCCCATGGACTACCTAAGGCCACAGACGATAATGACGTAATGATGCTATGCTGGAAGCGGATTCAGATATGAATCTGAGACTCCATATCAGTAACAAAATATTTATATATCAAATTGCACGTGAATTGAATTTGACATTAATTTAATTGACATATTTAATTTATATACCAATCTGTAAATGTAAGGGTGCACTATTATGAATATAAGCCGCGGTAAATAAGAAAAAAAATATTTTCAGAGACCTGAAGTTCACCAAAATGCATTGACCCATGTTCTTTTTTTCGATACGTATAAATATATGAAAAATTGATGTACCTATATTTTAAATATAATTAGTTAGCGTTCATACTTTGTCATATTTACTTATTAGATAGGTATTAAGATCTGAAAGCATTCTGTTTTTACTATGATTATACTTTCTTAGCCGTGGTAGCTCAGATGGTTAACGCTCGCTGTAAATATTAAAAGAACGCGAGTAACCTGGATTCGATCCCCGCCGGCACCAATGAAATTGTTAATTGCAATTTTAAGTGCTGATTTACCACGTGCTCGGCAGTGAAGGAAAACATCGTGAGGAAACCTGCATGTCTGAGGAATAAGAAAAAATATTTCGAAGACATATGAACTTCGCCAACACGCATTGGGGCAGCGCGACGGACACTTCCTTGCCCTAAAACCCTCTCAGAAATTAGGGGAGGCTTGTGCCCAGCAGTGGGACGTATATAGGCTGTAACTTTAACTATTATGAATCATATTTTAATTACTGTAGGATGCATGTTTCATAACTTTTTACAGTGGAAATATAATATAAGTTCCCTAATTTCTACAGGAGATGCGTCAATGAACTTTTATTAAAATGGAAACAGAGCTTCGATAAAAAGACCGATAACTAATTAAACATTTTTTTTCGTAAAAATATATTTAGGTAAACTATTTTTTTTTCCTAAATGTATGTATACACAAATATAATGTTCAACCACAATGACACTATTAAATTTAAAACTATTTTGGTTCTTAGAAGCGCTTTCATTCGTGCTGTATACTTTTAAAACTTGATGAAAATAAATTTCGTTTTGGCAATAGAACTTCTGTAAATGTCTAATATAGGTACTATTACCACATGAGTAAAGGAACCGACCATAGAATTTCTTATATCTATGGAACCGACTCTTTACTCTGTGCTAATACTAGGTACTAATGTGAACTTCTCTGCAGGTGAAAGGCCTCGACGCAAATCGCTATGCGACAAAGAAGACCGTTGCTCAGGGAATGCTAGATATTGCACTTCTGACATCAAATGCCTCACAATTAAAGTATGTTCTCCAAGTGGGGCAAAAACACGAGTTTTATACTTTGTTAGTGGTGCTGATCAGCGTTTCCATAGTTTTACAGGTAAGAATTGAATGATGACAATGTTTAAATACGTGGGTGGTCTGAAAAGTATCCGACCTAATGAAGATACAAGACGTTTTTTCTTTAAATTTGTTTTTATCTTTCTACATAGTCTCCTTGTAACTCTACGCAGCGACGCTCCCATCTCTCTAACACGTCCAAATAGTACTCGGCGTTTTTCTCTGCAAAATAATTGTTCACGAAGGTGATTGCCTCCTCATTTGACGAAAATCTCTGTCCTCCGAGCGCAATTTTTAGATGAGGGAACAAAAAGAAGTCGCTTGGGGCTAAATCTGGTGAGTAAGGCGGATGGTCAAGCAGTCCAAACCGTAATCGTGGATTTTCGCCACGGCAACCGTTGAGGAGTGAGATGGCGCAATGTGGCCATTTTTACGCAATTTCTGCCTTCAGTTTCTCAAGTAATGATGCGTAGTATGCTCCTGAAATGTTTTTTATTTTTTTAAGGTAATCGATTAAGATAACTCCATGAATATCCCAAAAAAACAGTCACCATCACTTTCCCAGTCAAAAAAACAGTTTTTGCTTTTTTTTTGGAGCCGGTTCCCCTTTTGCTGTCCACTGTTGTGACCACAGAAATCTAAATAACACTATTTAGATTTCTTTGGTTGTGACCGTATTTTTGTTTCGGGCATATAATGGTGTATCCAAGTTCCACCTACAGTAATTAATCGGCGCCAAAACTCGGAAATATTGCGCATAAGCTGCGCCAACAGAGCGTTGGAAATGTTCATTCGAACACGTTTTTGATCTAACGTGAGCAAACGCGACACCCAACGCGCTGACAGCTTTAGCCTAAATCTTGATTTAGACATAAGACAAACATTTTATTTGGACAGTTTCATAGCCTCTGCTATCTATCTCACATAAATTCGGCGGTCGTCTAGCACCATTTGGTGAACTTTAGCAACTGTTATCGTCAGTATTTGCAGTTTTTGGACGTCCCGAACGTTCATCGTCTCCCAAGCACTCACGGCCACGTTTAAATTCAGCTGCCCAAAATTTCACTGTGGTGAATGATGGTGCACAATCCCCATACACAGAGTCCATCTCATCTTTGGTTTGCGTAGGCGTACTGCAAGAACAAAAATTTAATGACAGCTCGATACTCAATTTTTTCTCAACTCACAACTCAATTAAAAACGACTGTTAAATAACAACTGATTACAATTACGCGTCCAAAATGGCTGATATTTTGGTGCGTAACTGTCAAAAAATGCACAACTAAAATACATTCGCTAGATTTTATTGACGCCATCTTGCCATCTTCACGTTGAGGTCGGAAACTTTTTTGAAAACGTTATATAAGAAAACTTTCTTAGGTATATTATAGGTGTTTTACAAACATTAATTGCATGCGGCACATGGACAAACATGCAATAATTATGAGTTGATGTTTGAAAAGAATGCACGCAAACGCGCACGCTGGAATGCACGACCGCATGCTCGCACACACGCATCCACGTGCACTAAATCACGAAGAATCATTGTAGTACTAAAATTTTACTCTGAATGATTGCGTGCAGCAACAAAGGTAAATTAAACCGTATAATTCAGCTTCAGGCAAACAATAAAATTTGTCTTTGCGTTTTATTAACCTCGTCTCGAATTTATGTACATGCAATAGAGTACTTTAATTTTTTTTTATAGGATAGGGTGACAAACGAGCACACAGTCCACTTGATGGTAAGTGGTTGCTGTGGCCCATAGACATCTACATCTATCCTCGATTACGAATCAAAATGCAGATGCGTTGTCACCCGTGAGGACTAAGATGGAATGCCTCGTTTCCAGTAAAAAAGGGTCTCCGGTTCTCTACACTCACCATACGAAATACAGCAGCATTAAGCTACTATTTCACGCTGGTATTATATATATTCTATTATTTATATATATTCTAATTACTTAGCGTTTGCTTACTTTTTGTTTCAATCAGCAGTAAATGCAACTTTTAAGTTGTTTTATTGTACATACTTTTATAAATTTTATCTTCATCACCATTATTACATACAGCCTATCACAATTCCACTGTTGAACATAGCCCCCATTCCCAAGAAACAACATTAGACGCAACCATAAACCACCTGCATCCATCGACTTCCAGTATCACTTACGAGATCGTCATTCCATCTTGTGGCGACTTACCCTTCTCATTGTATGTTATTACAATCGTAGCCTTCACCAGTTTCTTAATAAGATGATAATGTCCTCCAACCCGAATTTCGGCTACGGCGGCCTGCCTCAGCGGAGGCTAGCCATCGACGCAGGACAGGTTTATAGAACCCAAGTGTATGCGCAAGCATAGGTGCACTCTCTATACTCATCACTCTCGTAATCCGATGGGACCGTAAACCGACACGATCGGAGAGAGATCAGGCGCAGGACCAACGGCTTTACGTGTTTTATTGCGAGGCACGGAGGTGAGACACCGCCAACTTCCTGACTCCGGGCAACTACTGAGAATTTCTTGACGGAAAAACTCAATAATTAGTTTTTTTTGGCCCGACCCGGGATTCGAACCCAGGACCTCATGATCAGCAGTCGTACTACTACAACCACTAGACCAACGAGGCAGTCATAGTCATAATAAGATAGTATCTACTATACAAGAACATTAAAATTTTCAGATTTTGTATCAAACACATTTTTAATTATGAACATTTCAAGCGAATAGTTTCACTTTTCAGTTTTTGATTTTAACTTTATGTATAGTAATTTAAAAAATTAGTAGAAATCGTATAATATTAAATTTAACATGGTCCGATCGAATTCGCCCGATGGTCGGCGGTGGCGGCAACAAATTAACACCATACTCGTATGAAAGCATTGTGACCGCGTCGGTTATGTATGTTCGTCATCCCCTTGAACTGTCTCCCTATACATTAGAGTGATTTATTTCGATTTATAAATAACATTAACCATGCTTGTATCTACTCAGGCTTTTTAGTTGTGCGTGATCAGATATAATTAAAATTAAATCACACCAATCGTAATAAATTCCACGCGGACAAAGTCACGGGGAATAGCTAGCTATTATAAGAATATTTATTTCCATTTTTCCCATCGTGTATCCGCATGCGATCAATTTTAACTGAAGATTTATAGCTTAATGTAAAGGAACCACATAAATGGAAATAAATTGCCAAAATGCTGGCCCGTCCTCTACATCTATAGGTATAATCTTTTAAGTTACGAGAATATTCCTACAACACAGCTCTAGAGAGATGTCTTTAGGTGGCTATGGGATTCGTGTTATTGTCGCTGAACCTTCTCCGCGACTGCCGTTTCCAAGAGCCTCGTCATCGCACCTCAGCTCTGAACATCAATTACGCGACCACATCAGTTGCGTTCATAGTTACCGTACTCAACGTGCTTGTTTCAACCTTCGACTCTTCGTTGGCTAGATATATGGAGTTTGACTCCTTTTAATAGCTTAAAAACATAAGCATAAAGACAATAAGTTATGGTGTGTAGATACTTAGTTTCGTAGCTCAGGTACAATGCATATAGCAACATAGGCCACCGGTGTTCCTTGCTTGCAATGCTATGACAACGGAAGTATAGACAAACTGGAACCCATACTCCTAATATCAACATTAGGAATAATCAAATGACCGCAAAAAAAAAAACTCATATTTTCCCTACGGGACAGCCAACACTCACCCCATTGACAGCCATTATGAATTTCAGTATATGTTAATTGTCTGTATGGCAAGAATTATAAGTAAAAAATGCTAAAAGAAACTTGACTAAAACGATTTTCACGCAAGTGTTTGCATTTCAAGTAAAAAATGATGAGAAAACTTGACAAAAACGATTTCCCCTATTTTAGAATTATTCTTAAAAGCCGTTATATGGCAGCCCAAAATCTATTATTCAAATAATTTTTAGTTTTACTGCAAATGGCGGATGTTTGTGTTCATTTCGCAAATTTGTTTTTGAATTTTGGAATAATTCAGAGACAAAACTAGTAAAATGTGCGATTACAAAAGAGAGTAGCATCCAGGATGTAACATTATAATATTTTATTCGTAAGTACAAAACACAATGCAATGCAAAAGAGACGGAGAGGTAAAGAAAAATTTAAAAGTAACTTTTTTTTTGTGTTTTTTTTTTAATGTCATTCGAGAAGATGGGTTCCAGTTTGTACGAAGCACGTGTATTTCTATGGCTATGATACTGTTTTCAAAGGAAGTTAATAAAGGTGTTGTCCGCTCTTTGAGTTCTTTGATGACAGAAGGATAATATGATAATTTTAATAAAAATTAAATATTGTTATTATTTATTTTATTAAGTACCTGATATGCAATTCGTAAATTGTAAAAATATGTTTTATGACTTTGATGTCGTGTCTAACAATTTTTTATGAGATGTTAATTGGCAATTAAATTATTTTTGCACAGATTTAGTTATTTTTGTATATTTCGCTTGTTTTATCGTTTTTAAACTTCATGCACATACAGTTTTCATGGTTGAAACCCTAACGTTGACGAAACTGATCGGCGACTTGACGGTGACTTGAACTTTAATTCACCTTTTGAATCGTTATTTAATAGAAAATAAATCATTTGACTTGTATCATACATGTACATGTATTAATATATTTCGATTTATCAAACATTACTGGCTGGTCCATGTATTATATAAAATTATGTTAGTTTATTAATTGTTTGCCAATGACGTCAATATTTTTTTATTTTTGTAGAAGAGGAGGCAAACGAGCTTACGGCTCACCTGTGTAAGTGATCACCAGATCACCATTCACCACTACTCATGAACATTTGCAACACTAGAGAAATTGTAGGTGTATTCTGCCGTTCTTTTAGAATGTAATGATAGGTGTAGAAAAATATTATTTTATAAATTTCATTACTTTTTTAGCTTCTCGTCGGGCTTTTGTTCGTAATGATTGGTGGCCTTGACCTTAACGACCATGAAGATCAGCCTTCTGCTCTTATTCTCAATGACGTCATTGTCATTTTTATATTTGTTATTTCCGTTCTTAACATTGTTATTTCCGCTTTCGGAATTGAGTACTCAAATAATCCTCTTATTTTGGAGCGCTTGAAATTTATTAATAGTGAATATTTGCGAAAACCTAATACGACGACATTTTAAATATTATATGTATGTAGGTATTACGTTGGGTACGTTAAAAGTTTTGCATCTAATGTATTTACTGCTTTTCAAAGTATTTTCCCTTCCATTTAAACACTTTTCATTCGTTCAAATGATTTTTGAAAACATAAGGACCATTGCTTTGGGGCCATGTTTTTCACGTTCTGATCTTGATCTGATTCTGATCTTTCATCTTTCATTTTTGTGAAAATAAAAAATCGCATTGTGCGAGGTCTGGCAGAAAGCCAAAATCAGAACCAAAAAAATGTCTGGCTTTTTCGAAGCATTGGTATATAATATTTTCGTGGTAATTCCATTTTTGCTACGGATGATGACTACAACTTGTGATAAAACAATTGATACCCGACTTCCCACCAAAAATTATTTTATTAGATTCAAAATGAGTTTCTTTGTTTAAAAAAATATAACATTCGAATTTCCAACATTAATGAGCGGCCAGGAGTGCAGAACTTTCAATGTAGTCCATTTATTATAAATATAATGTTTCATTGCGTTCTGATGGAAAAAATATGTGCTTATACTTTTTTTTTTAAGTTTGTACATACGCATCTGTTCCAACACCAGTGGTTTCAAAAAATAACAAGTGAAAGTTTTGCGTTACATTTTAGACCAAGCTACTATTTGTACATAATGTAATATGACATATAATATATACTTATATACTTGTAATAAGTTCTATTCCCATACTTAATTTTTTTTCTAACACAGGCAGTCGCGGGAGTCCTGGTTTTAATAATTTCATCACTGGATGACGAACATAGCCAAAAGCAAAAGAAGATATCCGATGGTCTATACCACTTGTCAATTGGCCTAATGACAGGCGTGGTTTTTTGTGACGTCATCAAAATGACGTTCGGATTTGATCCAGCTCTTTCCGAGAAGGATTACTATGGGAATGGGACTTAGAATTTAGATAATATTACCTACGTTTATACTTAATATTATGATATTAGAAGTAGTAGGCCAACTAAGAATTTTGCAGGAACCACCTAAATTATGTGAAAAGGCAGCACTATAATATACCAGTTTTGAAACATAATTTAGATAATGTTCTTATAACTTAACTTATATTATGGACATATATAATCCTAAATACCAAAAATCTAAAATAGTATTAGGTAGTTTTACCTAGCTATGAAAATTGGTAATTTTATAGATTTCGATGTGCTCTTTCCGAATAATCGTATCGTCTCGTATCTTTATATACTTAAATTACAGGAAATTTTATCTAGTTTAATTTATTATCTTAATGTTTTTATCGTAAATTGAATTGGAAGGAGATATTTAAAAAAAAAACTGTATTTAGACGCCATTTTTCCAATATGGCGATGGTAGCAGCAAAGATGGCAAAGTAGAAATTTCAAAAGGGCATATCAAAATTCACTAAATCACCAATTTTCAAAACTCCCGGAAAACTGTATAGGTAACCTCTTTTCTCAGCACCAAATGTCTGTACTAAAGTTAAAGGTAGAAATGAGATACGGTAACAGTCTGAGAATGCAATTTCGTCTTTAAAAAATATGTACTTAGGAGAAACATAAACGAATGTAAAATAGATTCTATTATTCATCGCTCGAAGTGTGGAAGTCATTTTCACATGTATTTATAATAAGGCATTCAGCGTCATCACGTTCTGAATCCATACTAAAATAGTATTTTTGTTATTAGTTCGCTCAAAATTTCATCTTGAGGCCTTCACGCGTCCTTTCAAGTGTGAAAAAACATTTTCTATATGCTTTTTTTGACTCTGCTATCATATAGCATAGTCAACAAAAACAACCTTTCACTACAGTGGCGTTTCGTTTTAAATTGCCAAATTTTCTTTTGGGTGTACGCCGTACGCGGCAAACTTTTTTGCCGAGGCGGCGTGACACAAGGGCGACCGTATCTAAGCAAATAGACTATAAAGATACCGACAACTATGTTGTCAGATTTTAAAAATAAGCTAAATTTCAGGTAAAAGTTGGAAAATTTTTTAATTTAAAATTATGTTTCAATCCTTTTATGTGACATTGCAGTACACCTATATGGCTTGATTTTAGATAGATCGGACCGGATATTTTTTTTTATTTGTTGCATTGTAATTTATATTACACATTAAATGTAAATATCGCATTTTGCTATAATTTTATGTACCATTTGATTTACTTTTTTATGTTCTTATTTTATTTAAGTTTGTTATTTTATTTCATATGTTTATTTTTATTTTCTTAGGCGCTATCAGCCGTGGTTGCTGCAGTCCTCAGCCTCATTTTCAACATAAATCACATTCGGGATCAATATAAAGCAGAAATATTAAATAACATTAGTCTAGTTTCGAAAATAATCAGCATCACTCTAAACATTATTATAAGTGTATTTTACTCTATGCAAATCGAAGATAAAATCGGCATAAATATAAACGCGTGAAAATTTAAGATTCATCATTACCTTTAATCTCTGTATAATAATTACTTCATATGAATACAATTGATCAACACCTTAATGTCCCACTTACACTGTGCAAGTTTCTTGTATAAGTTTTAAAGAGTTGCTTCAAGTATTGCGTGTATATCCGAAGGCAAAATTTTAATTCAGTATTGAACGTTGTTCCCAATTAGTAAATTTCGTTATGATATTTTTACATATATAGGTAGTTTTGAATTTAATTTGTCCCTCCAGAGCAAGAATATTACCTACACTTTGTTTAAGCGGTGTGAGTTGATTATTTATTTAACTTTATTTTATGCAACAGGCAAGAAACTTGTATGGTAAAAACGAGCTTTTAAGAACGAAACGGCAAAGAGAACGGCCCTTAATTTTTATGGTGTATGTATAACCGGGTCACCAATAGAACAAGAGTAACAAACAAACGCTTACGAGTGTGAGTGGGTGTGGACCATTCACCAAAAGCGGGCGAATCTACTCGTTTTCGCCCGTGCACCTATAACCACTACTCGTATTGTTAATTATTTTGTGATATAACTATAGAAAATAGCGCGATTGAGCATACCTGGTATGGAGCGAGTGAATTTTGATTCATCATCATTCAATAGGGAGAGTAGGAACGATGACAGAGAATGGACGTGTGAACGTCACAGGACACATGATGGATTAATATTATTTATTGATTTGTAAAAAATTAAACGCCATTTGTGGAAACTTAAGCGACGGCTCGGTCGCAGTGATTACATGGCCTCGTTTGATTTTCGGCTGTAGCACTGTGCAACGTGGTTTCGAATATCACACGTAAGAACTATTTGTAGGATCAATTAATCAATTAATAATTGTTTCGAGACTTGAAACATGCTCACGTGCAATTTATTTATATAAAACGCCTTCATAATAGGAGAATTAAAAACAAGAAATACACAAAATAATTGTGGATGATACGGAAACCGACAAATTCTAGATGTAATGGAGTTCTCTCATGCTGGTTTAATGAAAGTTAAATAAATTTCTTGACAATTAATGATTTAAGATCATTTTAAAAATGTAAACAAAATCGGGCGAGCTCACCGATGATCACCGCACTTCATCGGCGGTACCCACTGCCTTACCTTCGCTCGCTTTCGTTCGTTTGGATTAAACAAGTCATTACAGCTTCACTAATCTATCACTATCTTAAAACTTTCATATTTCGAGCAAAAGACGCGGGAATAATAATAATAGTCAACAATTTTCACAAAATGATTCCGTTGTAACTGAACCTGAAAATCGTTTTCAGTAAATTAGTTAAATTTATAAGCAAAGAGCAATTAAACTTTGGCTGTGGAAAGAAAAGGCGACATCTCCTTTTTTTAATAAAATAATGATCACAAGCGAGCACTTAACACTTCCTTGAATTATAAAATTGCAATAAATATATCAGTAATATACTAGCACCGGAGATAAATCTCGGTTTTATGGAATTTAAGCCAAGCGTTCATCCCCTGAACTGCTACGGCTGTATCGCATAAGTTTTATCGTTATTATTCATTTTGTCCTTATTTGCCTCCCGATTTTTTATAATTTTTTTATTTACTATTTTATTTCAGTTTGTGTATAGATGTGATATTAAAATATAGATAGAATATGAGACCTAATAAAATTGGTAATTTATTATTCTCTAGTAAGAAATAAAGCTGTGTAGTACAAAGGTCTATTAAATTATTAAAAAATTATGCAATTTCATAATAACTCACAATTCTTTAGGAGGATAGCAGCTGGCCGCAGATTTATTACCCCTATTTTTCGCACACATGCACATTCACAAAAAACACTTAGTTTACAATAACGTTTTATAGAATACGCATACTCGTTCATTTCTTTTCTCTGTTTCTGGTAGTTCTGATGACTATACGCGTCCTAATGACAGTTAAAACTTTTTGGCGTATATACATGTATACTTAAAAATAATGTAACTTAATTAGTTTAAATGAGGAATTTAAAAACTTTTTTTTATAAAGAATGGACAATGTGCTAGTATCATGAAGTTTCAAATTAAATAATATTTTATCATTAGAATTTTATATAACCATATGCTAAATAATAAAAAAATTGTATTCCTTAATTTGTTTTATTTTGTTCCAACTGTTACCTAATCAGCCTTTCTGAATCCATTATAATTATAATTTTCGATACCACACTTTGGGAATGCTGTTCTCCATCAATAGTCTACGAGACTTGGTCTTGGAATTTTCAAATGTTCGTACAAATACTCACACTTTTCGGTCGCCAGAGCTTTGTTAAAAGTCCACCGGTGCACATAGACCTTTTCCGTTTTAGGGAGGATTTGCCTTAATTGTCACGCTTAGCGGACCGATTGGCGATCGCAGTACCAAAATAAATGTCTTGGATTTACTATTCTGCCTTTCAGATAGTTTACGTAAGGCGCAAAAGAGATACTCGTAGTTATATCGCAATCTAACGGAATCCAAAATATTTTTCTGGCGTTTCTCATAGTTGCCTGCTACGACATCCACGGGACGAAATTAGGTGATGAATTCTTTTTTTGGAAACTTTTGATTGAAACATATAGCTGATGTGAAGCCTCGACGTTCCGGGAAGTCTGCAGTGTGTGATCATATCCTAGACGGCCCCAACTATTACATCAGATTTGATAGACCACAAATCCTCGCGAAAGAACATTCCTACCAAGGATGATACGTGAGGCTATTGAAATTAAAAAAAAACATCCTAATTTCAATAGAGAAGGAGGCTGGGTACTACCACCTGCTTGGGACCCTATAATCAATAAAATTAAAACTAAACCCAAGCATACCACTGCAAGATCTCAAGACATAGTCAGTTCATTTTGCATAGATCGGACCATAAACAATAATTAAAAAAACTGAAGGTACTCCGGGTTTAACAATAACATCGGGACGTCAGTCACTTCAGTCCCCCGTGACCATGGGTGCTGGAAAGCACCCGAAACGTCGGGAATTAAAAATAAAAATAATTCAAATTCAAATTAAACGCGATAAAATCCGTAAAAGTAGTTTTAATCAATGTGTAGTGTTCGCGTAAATATATTAAGTAATCATGATGAATTCTCTTATGCCGAGCCTCTTTGTTGATCACATGAGCCATTCAGAACTTTTAGTGAAAAAGAAGTTCTTACCAGCATCTATAAAAAGATTAATGCGACTGAACAAATTTTTGGAACACTTTTTCAATCTACCTCAGATACATCTTCTACGGTCTGCTAGAACGCTGCTAGAGCATCACCGGCGATGAAAACTATATCCCTTAAGCAATATATTTTTTATTTAGCCTATGTGTTGTCAAGTGTCAGTGTTTTGAGTGCTGAGTGAAAGGGCGCGTTGTTACGGTATAACAGAAGCCGAAGCATAGCAGCTTGATAATACACCATTAGGCATTGATGCTAATTTAATTTCGTAAAGGAATTGATACCACACATATGGGGTATTTGGTGTTAAAGC